TGATGAATCTATTTAAAAGGAAATGTGCGTTGCTCCTATGATGCACCTCAAAATTTATAATTGAACTGTGTTTGACAGCATTATATCACAGTCTGTCTTAAATAACAAGAAGGTTCTTGGTGAATTTCTATTAACTTTGTACAACTTCTTAAATAACAAAATTTTACCAATGCAAATATAATCTATACAAGGTTAGGTATCACTTATTTGACAGTGCTTCCCATTCAAATTATCATGCCAAATAAACCAAATTACTTTCTAACGTTTCTCCTTACAATGTGAAAACAAAAATAAAAACACATACTTTTAGATTTTTCAGGAGCCCTCTAAGAAATCTCAACTTCAGCTAAAAACAGGAAGATTTCATTCAGAGTTTGATTTGGGGAAGACAATATTAAAATGAAAGAACTTAGTTTTTTTGAAAGTGAGAAGTTGTGGTTTTCTTTTGTGGGGGGAGAAAATTATGCTATTGATCTTCAGTCACAGCGCTTTATTTCTTTTTTTATTTTAATGATAAAAGAACAAAAATATTAACAAACACACATCCATTTATAAAATAACACAAAAACCATATAAGTAATACAGAATTTCACACAAGGTGATAGGAAATTAGCAATGGTTGTTATATTACATATTGATATCTTCAAATTGGTTACTCAGATAAACAAATATAGGCATGTAAGATTGATCAAACAACTAAACATTAACTGTTCCTTTCAGTAAAGCAATGGAAAACACCAGTACAACTATCTTAGCTATCTTGTATACAAATAATCAATAGCATAATGCAGTTTATATCAAACATATAGAAATGTATTAAGCTACAAAACCTTAGTTTCCTGGACAAACCTACTTAAAACATAAAGGAATTTCACAGTTAAAAGCAGACCAAAGATTAAAATATTTGTTATTTTGGTTTTGCATCTGTATGTTTTTGACATTAAAGTTGATTTTAAAGGATATAAATATGTCCACTCAAGTATTTAGCAAGCTTGATTACACAAAAAAATCTTTTACTAAGATTCACTTTTAAAAATTTTTGATTTTTTTAATATTCATATAAAGTTTCCCCTTTTTCCTTTTGGATCACCCAGCCATTCTACTTTACATTAAAATTACATTAAATTTTCTTCCTTGAATAAAAATCATATCTTTCTTATCCTTATCAAAAAACATTTTACTTTATTTACATACTTTTCATACAGAATTATTTTACTATTTAAAGTAATTTTATTTATATCCATTGATAATTTTGACTATCAGTAAGTTGTCTTCTACAGACATCAGTGAGAGACACTTGTGATTTGCCATAATCCAGGAGCTTACAATGAGATAGTATATTTATTGATACATTATTTTACAATTTTCTAGAAGTGATTTTTTCAATATGGTAAAAAGAACCTGTTTGTTAACAGATTCAAATATATTTAGTTTCCTTACACTATATAAAAATAAAAGTATAGGAACTAAATCTTATGCTTAGTAACATGTAGTCAGTAGTTTACTTAGAAATGACCTTAGTGCTTAATGAACATCAATTCTTTAATGTAATGTAGCCTAACTTTAAGTTTCAATTTACAGCAATTATTTTGGAAAACCCTTGTACAGATATATAAGTCCAAACAGTTACCTATCATCTCAAGCAATTTACTTATTACTTTTATAGCAAATATGTTAATCAAGCACTGCCAAATTAAGCTTCTGAAATGTTATGTACATAAGTGTTTTGTTTTATTTCTCTGCTTGTTGTAATTAAGTAACGCATCAAATCTTTTTACTCTACCTCCACTCATATATTTGTTCTCAGGTTGAATTAATGATTTTTGTAATAGATAAAATATTACTTTATGCAGTAAGAAAACCAAATAGAATAAATAATAATGTATTGCCCATGTTAAATTTAATGCTGATAACTCTGAAGACTTAGATTTTTTTACTATTAAATCAGCACTATGAAATTAGTCTCATTTATCAAATACTTATGTAAAACATTTGGGTTGTTTTTATATTTTTAGAAACTTTTGGAATATTTAATTTAAATAGGCACTCATTTGTTTCAGGACAATTTGAACAGAATCACTTTATGAGATTTAATTTGATAAAACCACCCAGAGGTTGAAAAATATCACATGAACATTGGATATGTATAAATATATATATATACACACGTTAACATATACATAGCATACATACACACATATATATATATATACACACACACACACACACACATATATACGTACAGACATTAGCATATAAAGGAAAATACAGATCTTATAGCTTTCATTTAATCATTTGCAGCCCTGACTCAATAAAGCACAGTCATATAAAACTCATTGGTTGATATGAAATAGTGATGTCTTATCTTTATTCCATTTTATACTTTCTTCTAAATCACATTTCTAGACAAAATGGGAGAAGCTGAGGAAACTAAATAATGACTAAGCAATTGCTTATTAAAAATTTGATCAGAAGAATTCTAATATGTGTTTCATCCTCTATGTACAATCTTATGGAGCCTGGGACCACATTTTGAATGAATGTCTGAGCAGACACCAAGCAGCTGTCTGGCTGCCTCAAAAGTCCACGTGTGGACACAATATATAATCTAAATTTGCCTTCCTTTCATCTTTAGGTAGCTGGTTTCAGTATAGCTGAGTCTCTTGCAAGTTCCTGGCGAATGAAGGGTGCTACTACCCCAAGGAGGTTAGTGAGCTCACATGGAAGGGGCCTGAAGCAAGAAAGGAAAATCTGGCAGAACTGGGGAAGAGATAGACAAGATGAATTTGAAGATCTGCATAGGAAGGGTTTAAGGAAATGGGAAGAAAAACAGTAAAGAAAGATAGTGGAAGGAAGCAGGAGGAGCAGAAACAAAAGGAAGGGACACCCTCATACAGCACTCACGGAAATATCAACATTCTCAGTTTATCCTCCCCAGTGTGCCAGTAAGAAGGTAGTGGACAGATGTGGTACAGTATATGGTCGGTAAAATTTCAAGAGGAGAAGGGTGGTGCCCTGAGAAGTTGCTATGGGGAGAAACTATGAAACAGAGAAAGCAGAACATCCTCACAAAGATCCAGAGAAAAAATTTCCATGGCAGGAGTCAGGGAATAAACCCAACACAAAACAAGGAACAGAAAAGACATTAAGCCCACTAGTTAGGCAATAACTCACCCAAGGCAAGGAGCCAGGAAGAAAGACTTCCAGCCCAGCAGGTGTCCTTTTCAGAGAAAGCCTGGGCTACTAAGTTAACTTTTTCATGCCTTGGCTTCTAGAACAGCTGCTAGAGTATAGGCAAAATTTAAAGAACATAGCATTATCCTTACCTTCTTTCCTTCCTTTCACAGATTCAACACACTGTTTCACAGATTCAATGGACTATTATCTAGACAATGATTCTGGAGTCTGACTTACCTGTGGAGTCCCAATCAATCAGTAAGGAGCAAAGATAAGGGCTTCAAAGTGTGACCATGTGGTCCTGATTGGGAGGTCTGCTACATCCAGAGAGTGACCTAATTCTGAGTCATGGCACCACAACTTGTAAAGGAACAACTACTCTTGACATTTATTAAAAGACATTGGGGAAGACTTTATTCATGAGATGTACACAGTAAGCACAGAAGGCTACAGCAGTGTGGTTTGGCAGAGGGGAAGAAAGATCAGCTTCAACTACAAATAAATGAGAAAGAGCAAGAATTTCTAGCCAAGGAGCAGATTTGGTAGGGATTATTGGTATACAGAAAATTACTAAGAGAAATTTCATGAATAAATAAGATTTTGGCTCAACTGACCTAGCAAGATTGCTGTGGAGGGTAATTTAAAATGATCAGATATCACCTTGGAAATTGCAGAAGTGAGGAATTCTTTGAGATATCCAGTGCAACAAAATATGGAGGATTGTGAGATTCCAATATTTAAAAATATTCAACAAGTTGCCTACAACATTACACAATGTAGAGAGTAAAAGGTATATACAAAAGTTGAGGTCTCCTTCAGAGAATTCAAACGAGACTGAGTAGGGTCTGGTTAAGAGTCTTTGTCTTTAGGAAGAACTCCCATAAGATCTTAGAAGGCAAGAACCTACCTGTACAACATTGCTTGGAAGATGATATTTCAATCTCAGGAAGAAATCGTTGAATTAAATGAAATAATTAAAAGAAGAAATGTTTCTTCTATTATTGTAAACCTTCCAGGTATATATATATTTTTGAGTGTTTTCATGATCTCCACTGCCCATATTAATTTCAGTTTTTGAGTGGCAAGAACATATACAGGGCACAGTTATGTGTCCAAGAGTAATGTTAAGTGAATATGTCATTTTCAGTGTCTGATAATTACCCAGGTATCACATAAAAGTATACTGTCAATTTTCAAATAAACACATTAAATATTCCCTTAAGCATGGGGAAAAATTGTTTTCACAAGGTGGGTAATGCTCAAGTTTTAGAAGAGATACCATATTCAGTGTTTAGGTTGGGGCTGTAATCCATATCCTACATGAAAAGATTCCAAATCTGATTCTTTAATTAACATTTTAAGAGACTCCTTGTGAAGAAGCTCATGAGAAAATGTAGTTCCTATGGGTACATTATGCTTTTTCTGGTATTTTTATTTGCTGGGTTTTGCATGACTAAGCATTCTTGTCAATTTTGCTTCACACACAGTTTCTCAAAGACCAGGTTTCTTATCTGTTGACTCTTCACACAATATACAATGGGGTTCATGAGTGGAGGTACCAGCAGGAAAACATCAGCCATGAGGATCCTAATTAGTACAGAACTGTGTTTGGCAAATCGGTGGATGATAGCAAGGGAGATCACAGGCACATAGAAGATAAGCACAGCACAGATGTGGGAAACACAGGTGTTGAGGACCTTGAGCCTTTCCTTCTGTGATGCTATGCTCAGCACTGCTTTCAGTATCAGCACATAGGACAGGAAAATAAAAGTCATGTCCAGGAAACCTGTGAGAGCCACAAATAAGCCATAGATGACATTGACCTTGTTGTTAGAGCAGGCCAGCTTCATGACATCCTGGTGGAGACAGTAGGAATGGAACAGAAGGTTCTTCTTACAGTATCTCAGACGTTTCAGGGTGAAAGGGAAAGGTAAAATCAACAAAATATTCTTGAGAGAAAAAGCAACTCCAATGTGAATGACTCTGGCAATGGTCAGGATGGAAGCATATCTCAGAGGGTTACAGATGGCAATGAAGCGATCAAAGGACATGATAAGAAGTACAGACGACTCCATAGCTGAGAATTCATGAATGAAAAACTCTTGGGCAAAACAAGCATTAGGGGAAATCTCTGAAGCATTGAATAAGAAGATCCTAAGCATGGTAGGCAGAGAAGAGAGGGATAGTCCCAGGTCTGAGAAAGCCAGCATAGAGAGGAAATAATACATGGGTTCATGCAAAGAAGGCTCAGTTGTTATGAAAAAGAGGATAGTGCAGTTCCCCAGAATAGCAACAGTGTACATGAGACATATGGGAATCGAGATCCAAATGTTGGCAGACTCCATCCCTGGAATCCCAACCAAATAGAAATTAGAGATCTCTGTTTCAGAGGTGTTGAGGATGGGCATGGCAGCATGTGCGGAAATAACATGAAAAGCTCACAAAAGTTGTCCTGTCCAGGTACAAATTAATTGGCTCAAACGCCTGACACTATCATATTGCTAACATTATGGTCTCGTCTAAAAAATGATACAGACCCAATTCTTGGATATAATCTGAAGGAAGAGAAATAGACACATAATGTTAAAATCAAATAAAAGCAAAATCAGATTAAATGAAACAAATTCATACCAAAATCTAACCTTTTTGTAAGTACAGATGATAACATATGCAGAAATGACATAAGGACTATATAGCAAAGAAAATTATATAGATGCCTATTATCTAATTTAAAAACCGGAGACTTTTGCTTTTCATATAAACATGATAATCTATATCCTGATAAAGGTTTGCTCAAATTTTCAGTAAGTTTACAGAAAACTCAGGGAAAAGTAACATACATTAACTTGATGTCATGTATTACTACTAGATAGTTAATTATTAGAGATAGTATCCTTGAATTTCTAGACTTGGTTCTGACACCTATGTGAAAGAAGCAAGAAGAATGTTCAATGGAAAACCAAAGATATGAGGTATTATAACTGGACAGTGGAAATATTATTTGCTTGCTTGACTTTTATGGGTGAATAGAGTTATTAGAGGTTCTTTTCCTCCAGGAAAGTACCCATAATGTATATAAAGTCAAAATTGGTGAGGTAAGTGAAATATGTGGGAATGTGTTCTGACTGCTTGGATTTGTTCTTCCCCCTTGTTGGTCCAGTGACACTCATCCAGTCCAGGCTTCACGTCCTCAACTTCCCTGTGGCTTACTGCCTCCTCTCCCTGCAATAACTCCTGCAGATACTCAGAGATGTTGCTGTTCTTTTTATTTCCTCCCAGATAGTCTACAGTAAACTCTCCCCAAACTTCACACTTTGTCAAGATATTGATACCCTTTTTGGTGTGTAGCGACCACTTTAGTAGTTGTAATTGTCTTTTGCTTTTAAGATCCAGATTGTCAATCTCTCCATACCAAATCCAGTTAATAACTTCTAGTGTATCAGCTCTCTTAATAGACTAAAAGATTACTTGTTTAATAAAATGATCAAGAAATATAGGGTAACAAACTTTTCAACTGGCCCATTATTACTCTTCATTGTCAATCCCTTTAAATTCTTAAATTATAAAAAAGAAAAATGTATGTCACTAGATTATATTATGTGTTTTGGAAAAAGAAAACTATTCCATTTTGATGTAGAGAGTGGTACTTTTAGAGAATCTACAGGAAATCTGAAATAATTCACTGAAGATTTTCTAGTATCCTGTTTTTAGTTCAGAGGAAGCTACTTGTCTAAATTCTCTAGCTTGTAACAATATTAAAAAACAAACAGTTTCAGTAACAGATATAGAATGGATATTAATAATGGAATTAGCATAAAGTTTAGTATTTCTGTGGAAGTTAAACATAAGAGTGTTTAACGTGTTCATTACATTAATAGTACAGTGATCTAGTGGGTCAGGCCAGTACTAGGAAGACTGTTTCAGATCTTGAGCATATGCTGAAAAGGAAGGAATATTTATGCATAAAATCAGAATAGTTTATCCAGGATAAACTACTTACTCTAATGCTCTTGGTTGATGAGATCTAAAATGGGAGAATTGATCAGAGTTTTCAGGCACTTACCAAGTCTGCCACCGGGTCTGCACTTAATGAACAAAAAGAGATGAACCAAGGATGAGATCTGCACCCCAAGCCCAATCTTGAGGCATATGTGTAGATTCTAGTCCTTTTACACTGATGCCTTTTTAGTAGAAGATGTGCCCCTGGGGACCAAACTCAGGAAGCTATACCCACAGGTTTTCTATTCAGGTAATTACTTAAAGTCACTCCAGGAGACTTCAGCTGATTTCCATTATTTGTACAAATTACTCTTCCCTGCTCACTTTAGCAGAGCTAATTGCTCTTTCACCTGCACTTTCAGATTCTTCTAGAGAAGTGGTCACACTTTATTTCCCTAAGTGATTACATTTGTGATATTATAACTGAGTTAACAGACTGAGCTTTACACGTAACTTTCACCTTATTATCTGAGAGATGCTTTTTCTTCTACTTTAGCATTCATAAGGCTTTGAATTTCTTTTTGGAGGCCAGCATGGGTATATGACTTACCCACTTTTAAATGTCATTAGTCTATGAGAGTACATTTCATATGGAGTAAGCTCGATTGTACTTGTGACTTGCAAAAACATGTTGCCCTTTTTCACTTTTGTCTTTGACAAGCATGTTGCCCCTGGTTTCATTCACTTTGACCTAAAAACACTGGAGTGAACGTCAATATGTAGAAGTCTAATGGGAAACTCTCTCCAGCTATCAGAGAAAGTACATGAACTCTATTCAATTACAACAAAGGCTATATTCAACCCTGAAGTGATCTCTGCAGCTCATGCTGTAACAGAAAATGCTCCTGCCCTGCCAGTGTGCTTCAGTTTGTGTTCATTGCACAGGTAACCTCCAGGATACTTCAGTTTCTGTTATGGTTCCTTTCACTACTGTTTGTTAGAAACAACTAGTCACTGTGACACATAGCTGGTGCTATGATGCCTATTGTAAAAACCAGTGAAAGACAGCCAAGTACCCTGCCTCTGTACCTCCCCTTTGCAGCCCCATAAAAACATCCCTCCCTGAGCCTTCAAGGACTGACAGTTTTATAAGGATGGTGTTTTGCTTACTTTTCTCTCATTGCTGAGACAAAATACCCAATGCCCAAAATGAAGGAAGGAAAGGTTTATTTAGCTTACAGTTTGTGGAGGTTTCAGTCCATACTTGGCTGGCTCCGAGGCAGAAGGTAGCAAAGCAGCAAGAGCAAAGGGGGGAAATCCCGGGAAGCAGCTTCTTTCCCTGCGTTATGTTGTAAACAGGCTACCCCCACCTAAGGGGCGTGTAACTCTCACATAATCTCCATGCCCTCCTCTTCCACAGGCTCAGGATGTATACAAAGTAAGCACCCTGGCTTCCTGCTGAGTCCCTTAGCCAAACCTCTAGACTCCCCAAGTTGACACAATGTATCAACCATAACAGATGGATTCCTTGTCAGTGCCTGTTGACAAATAAATCTGCCTCCAGTTCCTGAGCGACTTTCCAGTGTTCCTGTTTGCCATTGTAATATCACCCCCTGCCCTTCACCACTGGTGCAGAATTTTCCTAAACTGAAGGAAAAGCTAGAGGCTTTTAAGCCACCTATTGACAGGGCACTCGATGTGGTCTTCCCACAGGAAGGGAACATGATTTGGTTTTGGTGGCCATTCCTGTTCAAAGGAAAAAAGTATTCAGGAAGGACTTAAATAAGATCTGTCAGCTACAACACTTACTGGAAGAATTTTGTTTCATGCCTCACAGGATGGAGAGATCTGAGTGACAAATTCATCACTTTTTAATAACTGTTGTGTGCTTGGATCCAAAAGTTTCGGCAGCAGACTGTGGAAGCAGTTTCTCTAGGATTCACACAGCTTTTATTGGGAAGTGAGAAGAGGGTGGTTAGTGGGAAAATGCAAAACTCCACACAGTGGCTCTGCTGAGGATCTCAATGTTATGTACCACCTCTCTCTTCAATCAGGTTTAGATTCTTCCTGCTTCATCTAGCATTATGTCGTTGACCGGCATAAAATTTTCTAAGCTGTGACTTTTGCATTTGTCTGTTTATCATCAAAACTGGGCAAGAAGTGTCAAGAGATGCCCCCAAATCATCTAACAACCTTACTATAGTGCCACCTTGAGTACTAGTGGTTTTAAGTCAGTCTGATTATTAGTCAATTATTTTCTTCACTTGCCTGTACCTCAGAATGACACAGCAAAATTAATAATCAACAGTGCAAAAAGAAAAAACCTACAAAATGGGAAAATAAACTGACAGCTATTCCTCTGACAGAGGACTAATATCCAGAAGTTGAAAAGATTCAGACAAATTAGACACCCTAAATAAAAGTTATCAAAAAATATAAGTGAAGTTAATAGATTCTCCACCCATAAGAAGTACAGACGACCAATAAAGACATGAAAAATGATCAATGTCTCTGGCCATTACAGAAATACCATTTAAAGCAACACTGAGATTCCATCTTACCCCAGAGAATGGCCATCATCAAAAATCAAATAATAATAAATATTGGTGAAGCTCTAAGGAAAAAGCAACACTTCTGTATGGTTGGTGGGAATGTAAAGTAGTACAACCACTATGTAAATCCGTATGGGGATTCATCATAGACTAAAGGAGGAAATTCCATTTGATCCAGATGTTGTCATTTCATGTAGGTATCTTTCCCCAAAGAGTGAAAGACCTCTATTAAGTGCTACATGCATACACGTTTATAGCAATATAATTCATAATAGCTGAATCATGGAAGGCTGTCTGTCCACCAACCAAAGCATAAAAAAATTGTGCTTTTTATTCACAATGGAACACTAATCTGCCATAAAGAAAGACAAACTTGAGTCATTTGTAGCAAAACAGATGTAACCTGAGACCATATTGTTAAGTGAAATAAATCAGACAGGTAAGCTTAAATGTCTGATGAATTGTGTGTTTCTCTTATATGGGAAACCCAAATCATAAATAAGAGCAAGATTAAAGATAGATAATAGGAAATAGGAAGAAGGATCTTTCTCAAGGGAAAGGGATTGAGACATGGAGGGTCAGAGGGATGGGAGGGAAAGGGCGAAAAAATAAAACATTAAGATGTGTTACATTCATGTATGGACTCCACACAGGTATGCAAACATTATACATGGCAAACATGTACTACTATCAATAAGAATTTAAAAATAAAAGTAATAAAAGAGACCCTTAAGTCATCCTTTTTTAGCTGAAAGCAATTATAGATGTAACCACTTTATCCCTTTTCATATGATTTGACATTTGCAATTAGTCAGGGAACAAGGGTTAAAATTCTCATCATCCAAACTTCTTTGCTAACACATTTCTGTTCAGCACATGCTGGACTGTCATTAAGTACTACTCAAATTAAGACTAAA